CTTGAATATATAGTATCTTCTTTTGAAAACGCGTGAAAGAGACGAAAAGAACCAGCAATTAATCCGTGGATAAAGGTTCACGCTCGATATACACAGGTTGATTTCGACAGCCAACATATTCAAACCAAATAATTAATGTGGACTTCCTGATATTATTGAGTGGCTGTTCCTGTTTCGCATTAAGAGTCTTTGTTCATGGTGATACATTCATATAAGGTCATGTTCTGACCACTTGCTCAGTGTAAAAATTTCTCAATTTTCTTAACAATTCATTTGATAATTATTTCATTTCCGTTATAATGGAAGCGCCTTTAAATTTGATTTCCCCATCGTTGAAGCCGGTCTGAATCGCAACAATAAAATAAACGGACCCTGTTCAGGCTCTAGCACTCAGACCCTCGTTATTTATAACCACTGCAGGATGCGTGTTTTCTCTGCGGGAATATCACCACTGCAGGACGCGTGTTTTCCGCCTGCGGGAATTTTTGAGACGAGTGAGAGTCAGAAAATGTTTGCAGGGGACTTGGCACCAATAAAAGGCTTGGAGATATACAAGCTTTCTTCTTAGTACACCATTTAACAGTACACTTCAAATCAGTTTATTGCTTTTCTTTCACGATACTTGAACTGCATCATTACAGAACGCTAAAAAGGCAAGTCTATTTCCTACCGGCTGAAGAGTCTTGTTTCTGTAACAGCATTAGCCAACGTTAAAAATTATAATAGATTCGGCCTAAGGTTTCAAAATTACCATTTTTATTTCCCTGAGATGTCCGTTAAACTTTTAGACAATTCTTCTTAAGTTTATCAGCAATGCATATCGGGAAACACTGAGAGGCAGTGAGGCGTGAAAGCCATTAAGATGCCTTGAATCTTTATGCGGTAACAATTAAAAGTTAAAATAGATCGCTCGTCACGAAACTGTTTTAAAGTTGGTAAGAAAGACAACGACGACGAAGTCGTCCTGATTTGTAACGGCGAAAAGAAGATGAATTATCTTGGTTTGCTTTTCTCTATTGGCTTGCTATTAATTAACAGTTAAGCTCAATGTAGTATTTTTCTGGGGCAGCAACGACTTTCAATAAAACCACGGTGAAAATTAAAAGTAAATGCCTCTTTCTCAGGCTTTTGTTTTGTTATTAATTTTTCATACGAGCTTGAGACTGAAATTTTCATAGAACAAAGACAGTAATTAAAAGGAGAAGCTTGAAATGTCGAGGAACAAATTGAGCTTAACCATTGATTTTTCGAAATACAAAAGTAGAGGAAAAAGTGCTCGCGTTTCAGTATCGATATCATTTTTGATCTTTGCCTTCTTTTATCTTATCGCTTTTGTTTCTCCTTTTTTCTTCTTCCTAAGCATCGTAAACTTCTTCCTCTATTCTCCTTCTGATTATTTCAAAGAAACCTGTTAAAGTTTTCAGTTTTGAAATCACTTCTAGATTAAAGACTTTCGAGTGATCCATACTCTCAAACTCCAGGTATGGTTAAAATTCTTTCTCTGACGTACAGTCCTGAATGGTGTGGGTCTTATATCAATAAAATCTAATAGAGCGCTATAGGATAACGAAAGAAATCGGGTGGTAATCAATTATGAGACATTAACACTACAGTATAACACCTCGGTCAACTCGAACACCAAGTTAACTCAAACGAGATCCACATTTCCTTGATAATGACTCTATTTTTTGAGTCATTTATCATTCACTAACTGGAACCCAGTTTACTCGAACTTCCTGTTAATTCGAACTGACTCTACCTTCCCATGGCTCGAACTTTTAATGAAAACTTCGATGGATGAACGTCAAATTGTCTGAGTATAACTGATGACACTTCCCAATCGGCTGTGCTGGATATCTCAGCTTCTATTTTTCCTTAATACATTTGGCTAAACTTTCCAAACTGAAGCGTTCTATAACAAAAGGATCATGAATATGCCAAAATGACTGTTGATTGTGTAAAAATGGTAAAGACAGGGTTCCCTATTAATTGTAAACGGGATAATTGAAACGCAATGCCAAACCCGATAACTCGAACCCCCGCTAACTCAACCCAGCAGTCAAACGTCTATGCATGTGCAAACAATGTAATGATTAGGTGGTGCGTTTTCAAGCCGTTAGAACCAAATCGTCCCACAAAAGGTAAAAACAATCACGCAAACCAGTAGGTCACAACGTTTTAGTAGCTTGCGTCGCTTGCGCTGTACCGCCAGTATAGTCCGTCTGCGCAGCGGCTCCCAAAAGAGATACACAGCAACTGATGTTTCGTCCTTGATATCATTGGATGCTTGTCCGGGTCCCTGAAGGACAAGACCTAAATGACAGAGTGTGAGTTCTTGGGGTGTTAGAAAGGACTTATAGCGAAATTATTTTTCATCTGCGTGCGAGTCTCATAAACTGGCTTTTATCTGAGAAAGATACCACTGTAAAAACGTTCTGTAATTGTGTCGAACAATGCTATCTCCATTTTCAACCATTAAAAGCCACAAAACGTCCAAATGAGGTTTAAAATTTTATAACCTCCATAATCAACGCAACTCATGACAAAATCGAGTACCGTGAGTGAGAAGAAAATTTCTTTTCGTAAGTTGTTTACAAATTTAACATCTAAGTGACAGGTTTAAGGTAATTACTCTTTGCTGATTCAGTTGAGGACTCATACTTGTATAAAAATTTTCACGAAAGGTATGTTTTCGAACCAACAGGTTTACAAGAGCAAGAAATGACCAGGCCCACTCCTCTCTATTACCTGTATTTTTCAAGCAGTCCTTTTAGCTTTTAAGAACATTTTTTTCATACGATGAGAGTATCGGATATCAAGAAAACTTGAGCAGAGAAAGTGAACCATGAGATCCATTAAGATGCCACTAATTCCTATTTCAGTGGTAATTGTGACGAAATAGATTACGGTACAGTTCAAAACCTCTATCACAAAACTCTTGAAAGGTCAAAAGAACCTATCATAGTGGGGAGATCACAACAGTTCATCAGTTAAGTCTGGACACTTATACTCTTTTGTGACAATAAAAGGAAGATGAACTTCCCTGGTTTCGTTTTCCTTAGGGCGTTCTTCATAGCAGTTCAGCTAACCACTTTTGCCTGGGCCGCACAGAATCTTACAAAAACCTCAGGAAAAGGTAAAAAGTCTTCCCTTTTTGCCTCATCCCTTTCGCACACGCATACCGTATTCACTGATTAAGCATTACACCCGAATAGGCTATCTGAGACTGTAACTCAATCACGAGCGGGCGGAAGCCCTCGCAATCTATTTTCAGGCGGAAATTTTTTTCTCCGTTTCAAACGGTGTAGTACTTCAACAGACCCACATTAAAGTGAGGCAGTTACTTTAAAAATTTATATTTTTAAACATAGCGCATGTTTGTGCAAATGGCAGACTCTGTGTCGGTTGTTAATGTGATTCCGACACTAGAAAACCTTCATATTTTGATTTCCGATCGACAAATTTTGAACTATATACTTCTAAACAAAATTAAAATTTGAGTAACAGAATCTGTTACCCGTTGAAGACAATTTGCAATAGAATGAAAGAATTTGTTATGAACTTCAATTTTTAATTTCATTGAAGCTATTATTTAGAAGATTCTAGTAATTACGTGTAGATGTTGTACCTAAGGATAAGAAAAAAACTGAGATATTTGGTGTACGCTCGGTGGGCTATTCAAAGCCAAATTGAAAATTGTTTTTTGTTTCAAGTTTTCATCTTTTTTGCGAGGATGGCAGATGACTTGATGAAAGTTGGGGAAACGTTGATTAAACCGGGGTGGGTTACGCTAGCCTTCGAAGCAGTTTACACTGTAAGTTATTTCTACGAAGTATGGCGAGTAAGAGAGGCTCCCTCTTCGAATTCCATGGTCTGTTTTCAATTTTAGTCCTTACGGCAGATTGAAAGTGTATCCAAGATATTCAATTTTTTCCTAACCGGAAGAAAACAGCATTAATTTTGCACCAGGGACCGGCCATTTCTTATCACTGGGGAAGAGGGGGAGATAACCGAAGGATTTTTGGCAAGGGGGGGGGTTTAAGGATTTTGAGGGGATCACATGGTTCTCAGGGGGAACGGAAGAAGGGGGACCAGTGGTCACTAACAGATTTTAAGGAGGGGACCATACCAAAGTGACTGCTGATGAGGGGGGACAAAAGAATACCGTGCCCTAGATTGATTAATCAACTCTTATTATTGTTCAAGAATGATAAATCAATGGAGAAATAACACACGGACCCCTTAGGAAGTAGTCAATGAAAGATAACATAATTTTGAGAATCGTGGTAATTTAAACAAAAAGAAAAACTTTCTCTTTTGTCAAAGACTATGATGAGCAGGGGAAACACTTGGGTGAACAACCAGTACGTCGCCGGGTACGAGCGTGCACACTTATAGATTTCTCACTGGGTCGTCGTAAACCAGTCTTTTCAGTGCCGAGTCATTTCACTTTTCCCATCTGCCAAGACAATCACTACGCCACTTTCTATGATAATAATTGGGGAATTGCACGTTACGCAGTATACAAGATTACCGCCAAACAAGCCAAGGCAGCCAGGGTACCAAGAGATGGTGACTCATGGAGACTGACTCGGAGGCCAGGTTAGGTGGCTAGTTAGTTTGTTATTATAATTTACTTTTGTGATAATGGAATTTAGGCAAAAAAATTCTTATTCCACTAATATTCTATTTTAGGGCAAAATAACGCGTAAAATATGGCACAGTATATACATTATAAGGTAAAAATAATACGGACGGAAGGCGGACAAAATGGCCGCGCTGACAACCCAAACTTTGTTTCGTTTTTCGTCTTTTAGGATTGACTTTTTATGAAACAAGCTCTTATCTTATCATATTTTGTTTTATACAGTGTATGATAGTGTACGCTGTGGTAGTTTACTCTAGTTTGAGCACTCTGGCATGGCTTAGACGACACCACAAATGTTGGGTCGTTTGGGGTGACCCTCTCGATTCTCCTCCATCCTAGCATCACTCAGCACTGCACTGATGAAGCCCAGAAGGCCGAAACAGTACTGTCTGCAGTCAGTTATATTTATTTATATGTATGTAATTTAGACCTTCGCCGTTATTACGTAATCTCAGTCTCAATATTTCTGCTTTGTATACAAGCCGCTGTTCCAGTAACTCGCAATCATTGTAAATAGCTTTTTAGCTTTTGATTTTTAACCTGAGGATGGTTAAAAGTCACACACAGTACGCTTAGGCCGCCTGTGCCAAAACAAGCAAACGAAGAAACCGGCAACGCAATAACATCCTCTGGTACAACCCCCCTTTTAGCAAGAACACTAGCACCAATATCGGACACAAACTCCACGCCCTACTAGACAAGCACTTTCCCCATGCATGCAGAACAGAACAAGGCATTTACCAGAAATACAACTATGAATATAGTTGTGCGGGCATTTAAAACTGAACTAAGTTGACACACGAATCAAAACCAAGCTTACATTGTAACAAAGATTTGCGCAAGTAAAACTCAATTAGTAAATATGAGTTAACATTATAACAGAATCATGCACGTATTTAAAGCTGAAATAGGCCTACTACTAGAAAAGTAATTAGGTTCACGTTCCAACAGAGTTACAAATGCAGTAAAAGCAGAACAAGGGGTACACTGGAAAAGTTTTTGTCCCTTTCAGGTTTGAATAAGGATTGAATGCTGATGGAAGTTACGCTATCTAAAGTAACACTTGAAGGAAATTTTTCACACCACAATAAGCGCTCGTAGTCGTTCAAATCACTACCTATGTAAAGTAACGCGCTTATAAGATTAAGATGCTATTATGATTTAACTTACATGAACATAAAAATCCTTTCCACAACACTTTTAATTGCTTAATATTTCAGCCGTTTGGAAATGAAAATATTCCTTACAAAAATGCGCGTGTACGCCCCATTTGTACGTAAAGCGTTTTATATCTTATTTTGAAAAATACAAAGGGGTAGATTGTTCTTAAGCAATACGCAGATAGCTCCCTAAAACTTAATCTTTTACTCCAAAGAAAATGTTACTAGAGCAAAAGAATTAGAAATGGGTATTTTCTACAGAAAGTGGATATTTGCTACTTCAAATGGGTATTTGCTACGCAGTAGCTTTTGTGCAATAAAATCGTTTAATTGCGACATATAATTGTAAAAACGGGTTTAACATGTTGTCTTTCATACGCGCAGAACTTTCTGACCAAAAAAACGCATTTAATGAAAAGTATAATGATTTTATAAAGAAAAAAGATTATTGAACTTCTCAAAAAATCTTGAGTTGATAAGTCGAGTTGATATATATATATGTGGGAACGCGGTTTTGTTCTAAAATTAAGATGGTGTGGAAAGTAAAATATTCCAGATCCCAGAAGGGGTTTTATGGAAATAAAAAAGACCTAGAAGACCTTTAAAGTCCGTCAAAAGTTTTTATTTTAGTGATTTTTTCGATGAATGTACCAAAGATTGATATACCTTGGTCGTGTTTATATTGATTGATATACTGACTGAAGATTTCGTATTGGTCGGTAACTTTGAATAAATGTATTATAAGTGAAAAATAGAATAAGATATTTCGCTGTAAAAAAGGGGAACATATTGGAAAGTTTTAAATCAAAAATAGGAGAGGCGAAAAGGTGGCAGATACTCAGCCCTGAATCTGTAGAGAGTTAAAAAGAAATGCGAGGATGGACAACTTCTGGCGTAAAAGGAGATAAAAAATTTTAATAAAACGTTTCGGTTAGAGACCTTCTTCAGTTATTTGCAACTCTATCTTAAACTCTATCTTATGTTTGACCAGTTATATGCGTATGTGAATGAGAATAACTTTCTTTATACATACCAGTCCGGATTTAGACCTCTTCATTCAACTATTACTGCCTTTACTTAATATAACAAACGAGTGATGTTTTAATATTGATAAAGGCATGGTTAATGGAGTCCTTTTCCTGGACTTGAAAAAAGCCTTCGATACCGTTGACCATGTTATTTACTTAAAAAACTTAGTTACTACAGAGTAGAAACTGCAACAATCAATTGGTTCACTTCGTATTTAGAAAGTGGACAATAAGTATGTTATGCTAATGGTATCACCTCATCTGTAGATTACTTAACATGTGGTGTTCCTCAAGGTCCAATTTTGGGTCCGCTGCTCTTTTTTATATATCCAAATAGCCTTATAAAAGAATCAGCCCAATCAGGATGAGGGAAGAGAGCGTAAGAACGTTTAAATTTTAATTCAAAATTCTCTTATAATTAGGAGCGGTTATTCTTCAAGGAAGCAATGCCCTGTACAAGAATCAACCCAAGCCCTCTGAATATGACAAGGGCCATATCGTTCCTTTCGGTATCTTAGCGTACAGCGACCAAAGTGTCCGTGCCACCTTCACTTACACCAACTGCGTACCGCAAATTGACAATTTCAACAGAGGTCAGTGGAAAGTGTACGAAATGAAAATAGTAGAATATGCTCGGGACTTTTGTTCTCCAAAAGGCGGAACTCTTTACCTGATCACTGGTACATCACAGGTTCAATTCAATGAGATACTTAATACTCAAGGTAAAATAACAGGGGTGGGTAAGTCAGTGCAAAACGTGAAGTGGTTCCATAAAAATGTGAACCTCGGAAAAAGGATCGCAATTCCAAACTCGATGTGGACAGTGGGCTGTTGTTCGAGTAGGAAGTATGGAGTCGTGGGAGCGTTTGGTGTAATGGGGGATAATTCTTTAAATCCAGACTTAAATAAGTTTATGATGTCCAGACAAAGCGTCACATATGTTGAAAAAGCCCTTCGCTTAGAGCGTCGAGCAATTAAGTTATTTCCGGGGGGCAAGGATTGCTACAAGCCAAGAAAAAACGTTGCATTGTATCGATTATGATTTTATCATGTTCTTTCAAAGGAGCATGGGTAAAATCCTTGACAAAAATGCAAGGGCACCTTGCCTGAAATAACCAGATGGAGATCAATGCACAATTTTTATCACATCTCAGTTAGTGAGCACACTATGATTGTTTTATTTAACGTACTTCACTGTACAGCCCCCTAAAATCAAAAGTTTGCCTGAATTGAAATCTTCTCCTAGCCTCTTTTTCAACCCAAAGATAAAATAAGTATCTAACTAATTGGTTTTTCTGGGGCTGTATTGCAAGTTACAAACTCGGCTAGAAAGAGGTATTCAGTAGACCCTATATTGCCATCCTGTCCCATTCTTTATGTTCATAAATATGCATGATGCTAGATCTACTAAAGAATCTATATTGTAACGAAAAGGTTGATTAAAGAAATTAAAATAAACTTGAGGTTGCCCCAAACATTTTGTCAAAGATTTGATACCTAGCTTTTTTGTTTTTACTTTTGTTTTTGTTTGGTTCATTGGATTCTCTTGGTAATTTCCCACCTCATTAAAGAGGAAGTAGTGTCTAGAAAAGCACCCGTTTTTCTTTTCATCAACAAAATGGTTAATATAAAGATGGAATCTCACCAAAGTTTTATTTTCCGAAGCGCTTACTAACCATATGAATTTACTAAAGAGCAGGAAGTACAAACTTCATGAAACAAACTCCGTAAACCTCTTTTCTGATTCGGGCTGCTCGAGACAACACTCTCTTGCAGTTTCTCTAAGTATACTTCGAACGCAGTCGACCTTCTCAAACTGCTAAGTCTTTCAATGCGTTCTGGCTCAAAGCAATGTGGCTCTTCTGCAGCCATGTTTGTTTCCCGGCAAGATGCATATGGCGGCGCTATTCCTCGATTTTTGTGCAAGGATTTCTTATGGTTAGTAAGCGCTTTGGAGGCTGAAATTTCGTTGAGTATTTTATCGTTATATTAACCTTTTCGTTGAGGAAAAGAAAAAAAGAGAGCTTCTCTGGATCCTTCCGAGTGTCTTATAAAGAGGCTTCGTTTACATTCGAAGGCCAAACCAATCCCTGAGATTTTCCACATTAGAGGCCACTCAATCATTTCTCCATACGATGAAGCAAATCCCTAAGGTCATTTTACTCGTGAGTGTGGGCCTGACGAAATCGTATACTCTCACTCACAGCAATCTTCAAGTGAGTGTCCGAGCTTATCGGTGATGGATTCCTTTCATCTCATTGCGCTCCGCAACTGGCCAAGAAACTAGTGCTATACCTTGCCGGGCCGCTACCAGGCCCTCATTACTGGCCCTGCAGAACTCACGTTTTCGCCCGCGAGAAGATTTGTGACAAGTCGTGAAGACGCTTGCGGGAGGAAGGAACCATGGCACTAATATTAAGCCCAGACCCCCTTAGCCGGCTCCCTTTTCTTCGTGCAAGAACTACAAGAAGTTGTTCAACAAGAAGTTGTTGACAAGTTGAGGTCTAGTTCCCCCGTGAGTCTTGGTTTGCCATCATGACGAGGTTACCAAGCCGATTTCAACGGTCGTTGTGTCGTGGTTAAAATGACGTGGATGTCTACCATCGTTTTAAGGGTCATCCTCGGTGTAAAAAACCTGACGAGGTTTTCTTTCTTTCATGAGGTATTGTTTTGCTGTACGCTATTGTTCAGAATGTTTTGTTGTCTTTGTTTTACGTCACTCGTGAGCTTCAAGGGTTTTTACACCGAGGATAAGCCCGTTTTAGCGTTTCACTGAGGACACGAAGAGCCGCCTGGCGTCGATCGCAGGGCTGAGATTGCGTGGCTAGAGCCACGGAATCGAAATGAAAGGTCAACCTTTGCCCTTGAATTCTGCGATGGATTTGTGGCCGTGAGTACATTTTGGCTTGGGATTTTTACTTCGTTCGGGAGGCTGTCTGGACAGAAGTGATTGGCCTTATCTTCTCTTTAGGAAGATAAAATAGGATTAAAAAACTGCTTAAATCAAGTTAAATCTGTAAAATAAAGACACCAGGAGCAAACAACACACGTATGGAATAAGGTAAGCCATTTTTATTTGATATTTTCACTTTAACTATCTCGATGGATATCTTGTAGAAAATCGCATACAAATCCTTATAAATCGAAATGCAAATTGTGTTCCTTGTGTGGTTCTCAAAGAGAGCTTGGGCCGCCTGTGATATTGAGGGCCTATACGCAGGCTGGTGACAATAAATCAAACATGCAATCAGAAGCAGGACTAAATTCAAATTGTGACTTGGTTTCCGCGTTTTCAAGTCGCCCACCCCGGTGTTTCCCTTCAGTTCTCATGCTAATGTTGACCTTGTTCTGTTTGGGAAATTACTTTGGTCTTGATCTTATGCCACTTGATCAAAAACGCTCAAAATCGATTGTTTGATTCCAATTGTGAATAATACGTCTTATTAAATCGCTGGCAGAGCCCGCGGGCAATATGAAGCGAGTCCTGTGTTCTCATTAGCTACCCGAACGGGCAAGATGGGCCCACCTTGCCCGCTCGGAATTACCTGCCATGATCCCGTGCAAGAAAAACATTGCGTGGAGGGAACTTGGAACAATAATGATAAAAATCGAGAGATTACAAATTTTTATAATCTCTTATAAAAGTATAGATTAAACCTTACCCTACCAAAGTGATCTAGTCCGCTTGATCGCAAGGCCTTAGCTCCTAAGAAATGTAAGAGGGTCTTTTCTCGTTGGTCGTAGCTTCTTATTATAGCTTTATAGGAGAGTTTTAGAGGATTCCGTCAAAGAGCTTCGACTTTCTCAATCTTCTGCTCATAGTTCTCTAAATTAAGGAAATATTTTCAGGCTTTTGATCTGGTTTTCTCACTGAATAAAATTTGCTGCTCAAGAACTCAGTTAAGTGGGTAAATAATGGATCGTGGTCTATAAGATACTGCATAACAAAGGTCGTTGAGAAGGTGCTTATCTTTTCGATTGATTACTATTACAATTTCCATTTTTTGTTTGGAGCTGACCTGTGATTGCGGCTACAGAATAGTGGATGGAGTCTGTCTATCTCCTTCCTGATTTGTACCTGACAAATCAAGTTCTTTACCAAACAAATCTACCCGGTACTGTTGAATGGCTTTTGTTTTCAAAGAGATCAGTGCAATGAAAGATATGAGAAATAAAGAGCAACTCTAAGTTAAGCGAGGAGAAGAGACAACAATGTATCAGTTTCTTAATAATTTGAATATATCAGCAAAGTTGAAATGGTAAATTGGCCACCGTTACGATTATAAAAGCTGACGTTTCGAGCGTTAGCCCTTCGTCGCAGCTCCTAAAGAGGTACTCAGCGATCGGGTGGGGCTTGATATTCTGTATTTCACAGGTGTACATTACATGAAAGTGTATTTATCTATTCATTTGTTTTTATGAACAGGAATTACCCGTCAGGAAAGTAATAATCTGTACAAGGGAGGAAATTATCAAGGAGGTCATAGAGTTCCCTTCGAAACTTTATCCCACAGTGAAGTAAGTGGACTTGCTTCTTTCACCTACACAATTTCATGCCACACGTCGGAAGTTTTAACAAAGGACAGTAGCGAGTATATGACGCTAAAATACGGAAATATGCCGGGGTATGTACTTCGCGAGGAGAGACCCTCTACCTGATTACCGGTATATCATTTGTTACACTTGTAACCAGTCCTAAAATCCTCCAACTCGAGCCGGAATTGTCGCATTCTATCGTGGCGTTCCCTAACAAGCAAGGCATCGAATACTCACAAAAAAATAACAATCCCTAACTCGATGCGGACAGCTGGCTGTTGTTGGAGTGCAACGAAAGGAGTCGTCACGGGAGCGTTTGCTGTGATGGGTAATAATGATGAGAACAAAAGATTTAAATGAGTAAATCATGGCCAACCAAGACCTATCATATGTCGAACAAGTCCTTCAAACAGAAATTCCAAATCTTAATTTGTTCCCAGGGCACCAGGATTAGTATGAGCCGACTAAGCAGGTTACTCTTCAAAAGTATTTTGCAAAGAAATGGGTATAATTATTTGGTAACATTAATCATCCAATTCTGTCTGTAATGAAACTCGGGATTGACGAGTCGGACTCTCGCGATTACAGACCGAATTAAGCTACACCTGCAGCTGTCCTCCAACCATTATTCATCCTTTAATTAGTAAGTAACTTGTAGCACATTTGGTCATGTTCGTCAAATGATTAACGCGATTAAAATCACGTCTATCAAAGAAGCGAATCATTAAAATAATAATATTAAGAACAAAGGTCTCACTGCTCGTGAATGAGTACGGAGTCTGGCCGTAAGCTACGCTATGGAATTCTTAGAATCGAGCTAATGTATGTTCAAGTGTCTGGCTAAGCACGTGACATACTGAGCAGCAAATAATCCGAGATAGAATCTTACGCTCCCATTCAGAATAAATTCAAGTTCAGTGAGGTACATACTTGCATTTCTTGAACCTAGTTACTTAAGCAAAATCTTTTAAGCATCCTGCGATCACTTGCCACATTAGTAATCAGTTCTCTCTTGAGAATGATTTACCCTTCTCCATAGCAATAAGCATTGGCTCTCGTAGAGACAACTGATAAACTGGTTTGTAAAGAAAAATATCCGGGAAGATCAGTTACAGAGGAATCTGGAATACTGGGCTTTGCAATCCAGAATCCCGCCAAGGGATGAAACTGAAGACCTAAGTTGCTCAAAGTCTATTTCTATATTTGTTTTTTTTTTTTTTGGTTTGTTTTGGAATCCGAAATCCACAGGGGTAGAACCCAGAGTCCAGCACCTGGAATCCGTTATGCAAGTTATGCAATAGATTACATTGGTGTAATCTATTGCATAACTTGCACTAATTGCAAAAAGATATACATCGGCGAAACAGGCAGAAGACTAGGTGACCGATTCCGAGAACACCTTCGAGACGTGGAAAGGAATGACAAGGTCACATCGAAACCAGTCGCTAGGCATTTTAATTTACCTAATCATTCCAAGCAACATATGGCAATCTGCGGTCTTTCCTTACACTTAGGTAACACGGAAAACCGTAAAAATCTTAAACAAAAGCTCATCTTTCAAACCGGCAGTCTAAATCCCACAAGGATCAACGAACGCTTTTCATTCCACTAATTTATTCTTGTTTTTCTCGTTTCCATGTTCCCACCATAGTTAATAGAGGGGACTGGTTATGAAGGCCGGCATACATCAGAGAGCTAGGTTATTGTTCGAGTTGCCAACCAAGCGTGACCGTGCACACACATTCAAGATGGCGGGGAGCTAGAAGACTTGTGTTCGTGGTTTGATCTGTTTCTAAAACGTCATGATGTAGTTCTGTCCACAGAGACAGTTTATTTAAGTATCTAAACTCGAAATTACAATGCCTGGCGACAGCTGTGCCGTGTTTGGTTGCAGTACATGTTGTAGAACGAAGGGAATCGGCATACTTAAGTTGCCCTCGCTGCGAAATGCCGAGTATGAAAAATGGCGCAACGAGTGGCTGAATCAGCTGACCAAAACAAGAATTATCGACAAAGATTTCCAAAGTCAAATCGATAAAGGAAATGTATTTACATGTGAGAAGCATTTCGATCCAAAGGATATCGAAACGTGTAAGTATTCGAGTAATTTTTGTATTTTCAATTCTGTTTGGCCAGTTCACAAACCTACACGCTTACTGCAGTACCAACAGCAGTTGTCGTGCTTATTCTTATTAATATTGCTTTTCTTTTATTTCTATTTCAGTTCCATCGGAAAAANCAGTTCGCATACTAGGTCATCGAATTCGACCTATTACAAATAGATATGATATTAAAAAGATTACAGAATACCCGACATAAAAGCACGATAAACAGTTGAACTCGATCTTGTCAAACATACCGAAATGGTAATAGCAAAACAGTTGTTTTCTCTCGCTTTTTAAACTGATGAGGAAGGTTATAATACTTACATCGTCAGTAGCTTCTGTAAAGTATTAATCTAGCTTTTCTTCTTCTTCTTCTTCTTCTTCTTCTTCTTCTAAAATGTCTAAAATGGCATCAAAATCGTCTCCGAAAATAAAAAGTTCACTACTATCCGCCATGTTGCCTTGTAGTGCAAATCAAGGATGTGTACGTTCGCGTTACGTCACGGTAGTTTCAACCTCAGGAGCCGAACAATAGGCCGGCTCTTTCATGTATGCCGGCCTTCATAACCAGTCCCCTTTATTAACTATGTTCCCACCAATAACGTAGCTCCATTGACCACTTTCATAAATGGCTGCCGGATTAATATTCTTTAGTTTAAATTTAAATTAGCCTTTCTGGCCTCGCTTGAGATAATGTATTCTTTTGAATTTTGTACTGGAGAACGAGGCCAGAAAGGCTGATTTAAATTTAAACAAAAGAATATTAATCCGGCAGCCATTTATGAAAGTGGTGTATTTTCTGCCTTTAAAAGCACACACAACCCACAATTCCTCCATTCGCTCCGACGAAGGGCTAACGCTCGAAACGTCAGCTTTTGTAATCGTTACGGTGGCCAAATTACCATTTCAACTTTGTTGATATATCCAAATTATTTTCAAAGTAGCTGTGAGCTTCTGAAGCCAAAAATGAATATATATATATATATATATATAGCCCAAGTTCTTCATTTGACTGTAATTAGTAACATTCAAAAGTCGAAAGAACGTGTGTTTAATTTTAGCACCAACCTACGGCGTTGCTTAACGAAAGAAACACTTTGTCCACTTCTCACATCATTAAATTTTTGCGATATAGGAAAAAAATGTTTAAATATTGTTTTTCCTTGTCTTTTTAAAATTTTTGGGCCCGTTTATTTGATATTGAATGTCAGAGATAAACGAAAAGAATGTGAGCCTTTTTCGATTTATTATGAAATAATGGTTGAGATCTATAATTGTAGGTGGCAAAGTATGTAGATAGTAAAGTTTATTTTTTAAGAATAGCTCGTTTCATCGTATATCATTATTAGGGTTTTTATCATTATCAGAAGATAATTTTTCAATTTTAAGCCGAAAGGAAGCCGGGATTGCAAAGCTTTTCCTTTACTTCAATCTGTGATTGGTCCAGAAAACTTGCGCGTCTTTCTCAACCAATCAGATGCACACAGTAAAACTGACTTGGTCCCCCGCGTTTTCCCGCGCTTAAAGCAAACTGGTTGTTTTCTTTCTACTGATTGTTTGTTTTGATTACCTTGGCTTTGGTTTATCGACACTCGATCGAAAAGAACTCGGTTGAAAAATAAAGGTTTTGAATGTGAGAATCATTTTAAAGTGGTCATCATTCTGTTGTTAAACTTTTTATTTAGCATTTACCTGTAACTAATGTTTCGTCCTTTATGACATTGGATGCTTGTCAATCCCTGCACGACAAGATTTAAATGACAGAGTCTGTGTTCTGGGGCTGTTAGTGTTGTTTATTTCAAAGAAACATTTGCTTGAGTCGAAAACTCGACTAACCAGTAAAGGAGAGGTTTTCTGCAAACAAAAAACACGCTTAAAACAAACGAAATTACAACATAAACAAATGAAATGAAAACTCACCGACTGTTCGAGCTTAGGGTTTACAAACAACGACAATACACGGCAACAAAACATTTTGAAATGAACGCGACGATTTTTCCTTTCAAAGCACATGAGCGATTGCCCGGATGTTTTACGTAAACATAGGCCCGCAATGGGAGCTACAGTTAGTAAGGACTTCAGGCGAAATTCTTTTCCATCTGCGACTCTTTAATGACATTTATTACCAAAGGGAATAAATCAATTTATGCAACTGCGCCGCGTTTTATCATTACTCCGGATGGGTTACATCCGGGACTTACAATGGCAGATACTTAAACATCCGAACATGTCATTTCGGGCCTCTTTTAGTTAAGCTTTGGTGCAGGGCAAACATTTCCCACCCCATTAACCCGCCCATTATTTTCGAGCATTCTCATAGGTGCGTTGAATTCTCATTCGATGGGTGTTTGCCCTCACCTTTGCTGGGATTAGGTTTTATTTCCGGTTTTACTGTAATTTGATTTGGTATTAAAAATAAACGGCCACTAAACTGAGTGGCCAAATTATGGCAAATAAAGGTTGTCCGCTTAATTCTCCCAGCAAACCGAGCTCACCCCTAGCAATGCACAGTGTACGGCACTAGGTTATTGGCAAGCGAGCAAGAGGCATAAATGGTCCAACTCCTGTTATATGATGATTCCATTCGTTATAATTTATAATCGTTGTTGCTACTACTGGTACATTATTGGTATTCGTAAAATGTTCTATAATCGAACTGGTCAAAATGCCTNATCATCAGAGTCAAGTGACTTCACTTGACTCTGATGATGACTTCCGCACAGGTTGTCGAAACGCCAGTCACTACCACCGACAACAGTCCTTCTCAGGACTACACTCACCCGGACGATCAGACTACACCTTCACACAATGAAGGTTGTTGAGAAGTTGCTTATCTTTTCGATTTATTATTATTATGATCAGCATTTTTTGTTTAAGCTGACTTGTAATTGCGCTCACAGAACTCATTTTGGATGGAGTTTGTCGATCTCTTCCCTGATTTGTATCTGACAAATAAAGTTCTTCATTGAATAAATCGTACCTGGCACTGTTGAATGGCTTTTGTTTTCAAAGAGATGAAGGTAATGAAAGATAGGAGAGATAAAGAGCAACACGAAGCAAAGCGAGGAGAAGAGATATCGATTCTGATAAGAAATCACCCGTACGAGTAGGCGTGTCTAGTTTGTTTAAATCGAGTTGATTGTTTACGGTTTTGTAGAATGGTACGGGAAATGGAACAAGTTTAAGAGAATAGGTCACTGAAGGCCTCATTTATAACGCAGAAAAAGGAAAAAAGTACATTAAAAGGTTTGGAGAAGCGCATAAAGCAGGCACGCCAATTTGAGCTGAAATTTGGTAACCACAAAATTGATCAATCACGTCTACACACTGGCTTGGTCAACTCAGCAATATCAAGCTCTCTTAGAGTCGTTTCCATCCTGGATATGATTTTTTAATCTGAATCCAACGTCAACTTCAAGCAATAGCCTTTGTTCAAGAAACCTCTGCGGAGTAAAGTTGTCTTTTTAACCGGTCGCATTGAAGTCGATGGTGGTGGTCTAATTTTAAACGTCATTCATAATTAATAAGCGGGAAAAAGTTTGTAGCGCCAAAAGGAACGCTCCTGGAACTGTCAAGTCCCAATTGACTAACAGAGTGAAGAATCAATTAATGAGTCGCGGGAAAAAAATAACAATCCCTACCAGCCGAATCTGATTAGATTTTACAGGGGCAACATCCACATTTTTTAGCCGAGGAATCGAGATGAAGCATATTCATTTTCACGAAAAAGACATTTTTACGAAAGTTATCTAAAAATAAACGACTTCAAACTTAGAAAAATTTATTTCCGTTGAGTTTTTATTCAATTCTTCCTAAGTTTAACAGCAATGCATATCAGGAAACACTGAGAGGCAGTGAGGCTTGAAATCCATTAAGATGCCATGAATCTTTATGTGGTAACAATTAAAAGTTGAAATAGATCGCTCATCACGAAACTGTTTAAAAGTTGGTAAGAAGGTTGAAGCGAGAAGATCTCAAGAACTGACCAGTCTCCCGGAAAGAATCGTCCCAGTATTTGAAACGACTAGAGGAAGATGAATTATCTTGGTTTACTTTTCTCTATTGGCTTGCTAATAACAGTTAAGCTTAATGAGTTTTCCTGGGCCGCAACGACTTTCAATAAAACCACGGTGAAAAGTAAGTATCTTCCTCTGACTTTTGTTTTGTTTTACTATTAATTTTTCAAACAAGCTTCAGACTGACATTTTCATGATAGAAAAAGACAATAAGGAGAGGCTTGAAATATCGCGAAACAAATTGAGCTTTACACCTGATTTTCCGAAATAAAAAAAAAGTAGAGGAAAAAGTGCTTGCGCTTCAGGATTGATATTATTCATAATCTTTACCATCTTCTTTTATTTTATCGCCTTTGTTTCTCTTTTTTTTTTCTCTCTATTCTCCTTCTGAATGATTCAAAGAAAACTATTAAAGTTTTCAGTTTTGAACTTCTAGATTACAATGGATTTGGGCACCTAAACCAGCAAGCAGAAAAGCGTGTGCAGCAATGTGATCTTGACAGTTTCTCTTTGGGTCATCAAAAACCAATTTTTCCAGAAAAAGCAACAACCATTTCCATTTGCCAGAGCGGTCACTTTGCCACCTTTTACGATAGAGATTTGGGAATACCTCGTTACGCAGTATATATGCTTACAGACGACGAAGTGAAAAAGTTTAAATCGTTTGTGAGACCTTCGAGTGACCCATGGTCTCAAACTCCAGGTATGGGTTAAGATTCTTGAATGCGTTTTTAGGTTCTCGGAATCATGTTCTCACACGAGGTTTATACAATTAGGCAAACCAGTAAGACTAGGTTTCCACTAGAGGAAATTGTTCCGGATTCGTGATGAATCCGAAACCGGTTTTAGTATACCGGATTGATTTTGCCGTTTACACGAAAGTGGATGAATCCGAAATAAAAATTCCCCGGTTTGGCCGTGTCTCCGGAGATTTTGAATCCGGAATTTAAAGTGGGAACTTTGAATCCGATAACTTTTGAATCCGGAAAGTTTTGTCGTGTAACCGCTATTTTTCTCGAATCCGGATATTATTTCCGCCTGCAATCTTTTGAGTTTGCGGTGAAACCAAAATGGAAGATCTGGTGCTAACATTGCTGGCGGTCTCCGGTTGCCTAATCTTGTTGCAGGTTCAGGCGATAAATTTTATCATGTGTACCGCAGTATTTCTGAGGAAACACAAATTATTATTGCAAGGAGGTTTAACATCAGCCACACTTAATCGCCGACGACGTAGATGGCTTGGTATCTGTCCAGTTCAAAATTTGCCTCAGTGGCATCTCGATCTACTCTAGCCTTTTTAGAGGAAGCATTTTCACTTTGCCAATCGAACGACGAAACAACACTGGGCTTGGTAACCATTCCATTTCTAATGTTCCCGGAGTTGTCGTTGTTTGTAAACGGTCAGGAATCCGAATATCCTTTCAGTGTAAACGCCTACGAATCCGGATATTCCAAAATTGATGAGCCGGAAACATTTACGAATCCGGAAAACTCTCCTCTAGTGTAAACCTAGTCTAATTCGCCTGTATAGTCCGTCTGCGTAACGGCTCCCAAAAGCTTGTTGACGGATCAGACAACGCCTTTTCGATCTTTTGAAAGAATATGACCAATCGCAAGTCGCGTAAGAAATTAGCCAATCAGAAATGGATACTCAGATCCGTGTACCCATGCAGGATATCAGACTACGCTTTTAGGAACCGTTGCGCAGACGGACTACACCGGGCATTTTGTAACACCTTCCGAATGCAACGCAGGCTACGTTTTAGAAGCGTATAACTTTTTTGGTGAAACCCAAAACAGAATGGTAAACCAACAGGATACTCATACTTGAATAAGCTTTGTATTCGAAAAGTCTCGAGGTTTCCTTTGCTCTAATTTTTTTTCCTTCTACAGATTTCTATGAAAGTCTCAATTTTCTATCGCTTATTTTGCGAGACAGCACGATGGTTTCTAATGTTTTCTATAGAAATTTTGCGCGGTAAATAACGCGCAGGCGCCAAAATCGATCCCCTCGCGCATACCCTGCGCTTGACCGCTGTGTTCGCTGATTCGAACCAATTTTGATTTCCCATGGGAGTTCGAGTTCGCTCGGTTCCACCGGTATCAGGAATCTCTTCTGTTTGCGTTTCGAAATTATTATGAAACGTTCACCAGAACTGCATTTTTTATTTTTTATTTTGAAATTTATTTTCATCATGATAATGCTGTCTTTTTTTCATTTTTTTTTTTTTTTTTTTTTTTGGATAGAACGAACGAGAAAGTTTTCCTCCTATCGTTTTAAAATGTGTTTCATTTTTAAATTCTTTTTGTCAAGGGGTACACAGCGATAGTGTGGGCCTTGATATTCTGTATTCCACAGGTGAACATCACATGAAATGGAATTTATTTATTGTTGTTTTATGAACAGGTATTACCCGTCAGGGAAGTAATCTCCTGTATGAGGGATCCGGAGGGTATTATCATAGAGGTCATATAGTCCCTTTTGAAACTTTATCCTACAGTGAAGGAAGTGGGCTTGCTTCTTTTACCTACACCAATTGCGTGCCACAGGTCGGAAGTTTTAACACAGGACAGTGGCGAGTATATGAGGCTAAAATACGGAAATATGCCGGGATGTGTACTTCAGAAGACGGGATTCTCTTCCTTATCACGGGTACATCATTTGTTAGACTTGTAACCAATCCTAAAACCCACGAACATGAGCCGGAATTGCCACATTCTATCATGGCGTTCCCTAACAAGCCAGGCATCGTACAATCACAAAAAATAGCAATCCCTAACTCGATGTGGACAGCTGGCTGTTGTTGGAGTGCAACGAAAGGCATCGTTACGGGAGCGTTTGCTGTGATAGGTAACAATGATGGAAACAAAGAATTGAATAAGAAAATCATGGCCGACCAAAACCTAGCAGATGTCGAACAAGTCCTTCAAAAAGAAAATCCAAAGATTAAACTGTTTCCAGGGGACAAGGATTGCTATGAGCCGACCAATCAGGTTACTCTTTAAAAGTATTTTGAAAAGAAATGGTTATACAGTTGAACCTCGATGACCCGGATTCTCGATCATCCGGAATTTTCTCTGGTCCAAATTTTTTCATGAATATTTATTAGTCATGATCAAAATCCGTAGCTATATTTTTTTTTTTAAAACTACAACGTTGAGGGGTGAAGTAAAGGCGATGTTCTTCTTTAGGACAACTTGACTTACTTTAACATTTTAGGCTAATGTAAAAACATTTCTCCTTAATTTCAATTGTTAATACACACGTGTGGAGGTAGTCAAGTAGGACAGTGAAGATGTAGACCACATCTTTTTCAAAATGATTTGTAATTGTTTTGTTTCAGGATTAAATGTCGCTTTCCTAATTCAATCAGTTTTTGCTTCTCATTAATATTCATATTCTCTATTATCCAGACCCTCGATTATTCGGACTATTTCGTCTAGTCCCAACAAGTCCGGATATGCGAGGTTCGACTGCTAACATTAATCGTCCAATTCTGTCCGCAAACATACTCATGATTGACGAATTGGACTCCCGCGATTAAAGGCAGGCCGAATTAAGCTACACCTGTCCTGCAAACGCTATTTATCCTTTAATTAGTAAGTAACTTATAGCACATTTGGTGTTGTCCGTAAACGAACGATTAATCCAATCGAGATCACATGTATCTAAGAGGTGAATCATTACCATTTTAATAAAGAGAACAAATTGAGGTCTCATTGCGAGTGAATGAGTGCGGAGTCTTGCCGTAAACCGCGCTACGGAAATTCTTAAAAAAGGCGGGGATGTATTTCCAAGTGTCTGCTTAGGTACGTGACCTACTGAGCGGCAAATTATCCGAGAGAAAGTCCCATGTTCCCATTCGGAAAAACTCCAGTTCAGTGGGGCACATTCTTGCAGTTCTCGAACCCAGTTCCTTAAGCGAAATCTTTTACTGATCCTGTGTTCACTTGCCACATTAGTAATAAGTTCTTCCTTAAGAAGAATTTACCTTTCTCCACAGCAATAAACATTGGCCCTCGAAGAGAGAACTGATAAACTGATTTATAAAGAAGAAAAAGCAGTAAAGATTGGTTACAGAGGAAAAGGGCATTCAAATATTGTTACCGTTCTTGCACAGCATTAAACAACAAAACTATACCAGTCCTGAAGTATGAAGGCGAAAGTTAGGTCACCAAAGATGTCAGGGATCAATTTAGTTAAAATATGATAAATTCACATTCCAATTTACTTACCAGAGCAACGGTGCGGCAATGGCCGCGGCCGCAGACGGAAGGAAAACTTTTTAATAATGTAGGCAGACGGTGAGGTCAAGAAATGAAGATTCATTGAAATTCTTCCCTTCCCGTTTTCACCCTTTTATTTTTCCTTTGTCGCTCTTTCATTTCTTCCGTGCTTATTTTTCCCGTTTTACGATGTTTTGATGACATATTACTTTTGCTTCGGAAATGTGGTTCCTTATCAAACTGGAGTCAACGGAATTTCTCCAGCGACCCCAGATCCAGAAGAAACCAAATCCCCAGAACCACTAGCGATGACATTCTCCCAGAAGCGAACCCCGTTTCTATGGCATCAAGTGTGCCAAATGCAACTGCCGGGGGTTGGGGTAAAAAACTCTTAATTCTACACATCTGTAGAGTTTTGCTTATGTAATATTTTTCTGTCCAAAGATAACTTTCAAAATGAATATTTTTATTTCCTAAGACTACATTGTGTCTGTTTCTTGTGTTGAAATACCAGCCAATTGTGTGTATTCAACGATAATGATATTTTTCCCCTCCCCTGCCAAATTTGCTGCAAAGCGACACGTCAGCTACGTAACAATAGTGAGCACGCGCAGTTCGGTGATGATGCTTTTTTAAAGATGGCGGAAAAGTTGGTAGCGCTAACTTTTTTACTACTTTTTGTAAGTTTTCAACCGGTGATTTCCGAAGAAGCAGTAGATCAAGAAGGTAAGTACTGAGGATGCATTTTTCTGTTGTGGAAATCTTTTAAAAATATTTTTACTCTGGAGAAAACTTACTTTTACGAGTTCAGACACGCGCACGGAAAAAGACGTGTAATAGGGAGCAAACCGCAAAAGATTGAAATGAAAGCTAAAATGCCTGGTGTTGAGTAATTCAGGGATTGTTTTGTATTCTGGTGTGCGATATCAAATTTTTCTGGGGAAAATTGATAATCGCGCGGAAACACTTGGTTTTGAGTTTGAATTGTTATTCCCGGGAAATTTCCGGCAAAATGATCGATTGTTCGTCGGCGTGGAGGTATTTTGGTTGTTATATACACCTATCCATTGGGAATTATTGATACATTTTACTGCGCGTGGAAGTAGCAGCAGTTTACACATATGGTAAATATTCAGAACTGTATTTTAGTGTTGAAAATAATTTTTTCCAGCGAAACTCGAGTGCTATTAAAAAAATGGTGAAGGACGTATTGAATGAAAGTCTGGTTATTATTTGGAATCTGAAGATTGTCCGGCGATACTTCTCCATCGTAAGGCTCGACTGATCCAAGATTTTTCCCTTCTTCAAATCCATCTCTCCACAGTAGTCAGAACTGTGGCCATTGTNNNNAATTTTAGAACACAGGCTCCCTTCAATTTGTCTTAGATTAGAAGTATAAAAAAATAAATAAATAAATAAAAGGCAAAGGCAAGCTTTTATTCTTTACCACAGGCCTCCACTGCAGCTCCTAAGGAGAGCAAGGGTAGCGCAGGATTTTTCTCGCAGATATATTCAGAACTGACTCACTTTTATAATGACGATGAGCTTGAAGATGGTGACTCTGAGACTTCATCTGATGCAGAGGAGGCTGAGGATGGGGAATCAGAGGACACTGAACAAGAAGAAAAAAATGAGAAGAAAATCAGTGATAGTGATGAGGAAACAACATCAAGAGAGGAGATCAAAAATGGTGAATCAGTAGATAATAAAGACGATCAGACGAAGGAGGAGCAAAGTGATAATGCTGATGATGAAACAACATCTGAAAAGGTAGAGGCCATATATGGCGAATCAGCAGACAGTGAAAAAGAGCAAAAAATGGAAGAAAAAATATATAATGCTGATGATGAAACACCATCTAGGGAGGAGGAGGAGGAGGCCCAAGATGGTGAACCAAGAAAAAACATAAAAGAGGAGAAAAAGGAAGAAAAAACACATAATGCCAATAAGGAAACACCATCTAGGGAGGAGGACTTAGATGGTGAATCAGAAAAAAATATAAAAGAAGATAAAAATGAACAAAAAAATGAGAATGTTGTTGACGAGGCGGTTGATAAGGAGAATGTAAAGAGCCAGTCTGAATCTAGATTGAAGCCAGATGACTCCGAAGATACCTTTCCTAGACCTTCCGAGGAAGAAACTTTAGGGAAGGAGATTGATGTTGGAGAGGATAAACAGAAGATCCAGCCTGAATCTAAATTTAAGCTTGACTATTCTGAGGATGTTATTTCTAAACCTTCCAGTGAGGAAACTATGGAAGAGGATTTTGATAGCAGAAAGGAAAATCAACAGAATTTGTTGAACAAACAGTTTGAGTCTGCTCAAGATCCATCTTTGGAAACAGCTGATGCTGTAACCTCTGAAAGTGAAAAACCTGAAATTCTTGTGGACCAGAAAGGACTAGAAACTGAGAACTCTGAAGAATGTGGCAAGGGTGAAGAACATACACAGCAAGAACCAGAAAATGGAAGCCCTGTATTGGAGAAAAATGACAAGAAAAGTGGAGGAATGATAATTAAAAATGGTTTGCTCATACTTTCTGATAAAGAGTTGGAGTACTTCCGAGTTAAAAGTAAAGAAATGAAAGAAAGAAACAGTGCTGATTCAAGGAAAACAGAGGAATTCATTGAGAAGCCACAGAGAGAGTCATTGTTAGAAAAGGAAAAGAGAACTGGTGAAGAGAAAGAAAAGAGAATGGAGGAAGAGGAGGATAAGAGTCACCAAAAAGTCCCAGCAGATTCTCCAAAGGAAGATCAAAGCCAAGAGGAGTTTGCCAGGAAGATAAGACTTGATTCCTTGAAAGAGCAGCGCAAACAGGTGGAAGCAAATGAGAAGAAAGAAGACAAGAGGCAAATGAGGAAGAAAGTTGAAAAGGAAAGACAAGACTATTTTAAGAAAGAAAATGGAGTCAAAAGAAAAGAGAACGATGCAAAGAAGGAGGATTTTCAGCATGAAAAGGTTCAAAGGAAGCAAAAACCCCAGAAAGATGTGGCTGAACCTTCTCAGGAAAATGGAAAACAAAGAATGAAGCATGATGAAGAAGAAGAGCACAGAAAACTCAAGGGTGCATTTGACAAAACGTTAGCTGAAGAAGCTGCTCTGAAGAAAAAACTGGAACAATTAAGTGAAGAAAGGAAAAAGTTTGAGAAAATGGCAGCAGAGTATTCTCACAGCAAGCAGCAAAGACAAGCCAAGAAAAAAGAGGAAAAACCATCTGTTAGTCAAGCTCCAAAAGTTGAGTCCAGAACATCTGGAACTGTATCAACTGGTGAAGGTTAGTGTAAATATTTTCAATGTTTGTAGATCTCCTTTTTAGTAAACATGACCACAGCAAAATTTAACCCTTTAGACCATAAGAGTGACTAGCATCTAATTTCTCCTTACAATATCACCCCCCCCAATCACACATTAAGGTCACGAGAATACAGGAAATGATCACCAACTTAAAAAGCCTTTGACTGTGAAACAAGTCTTTCTTGTCAGTGCTACCACAAATATGAAGAGAACAGCTTGGGAAGATATCGATGCTTATTGATCTTAGGGTGTAGAGGCTAACATGACATTACTATAATTTCTGTTGTTAGTACGTCTGAGGACTTCTGCTTCTCGCAAAAGTTTTTTCTTGCAAAGTAACCTCATTTTATTGTTCCTGCAGGAAAATCAGGAACGCATACACACGATAGAAGACCTCAGAGCACCAGGCAAACTCCAAAAATCCAAAGAACTCAGTTACCTCCTACAAAAGCCACAACCAGAAATGAGGAAAGAACAGCTTCACAGTCCACTGATGCTGCCTACCTTACAACTAGAAGTGGGACCACTAACACTTTGGGTGTGTCTGGTACAGACACTGGTACCACAGGGGATAGGAAGGGTACAGTTGCTCTAGGAACATCCAGTAGTGTTGGTAGGGAGGCAGTTGAAACCAAGAAAGAATCAACTCCACTTGAGCCTGTCCAGAGATCAGTAACAGATGATGGGGTGCATGTTCACGGTGACACCAAAGTGGAGTCTCGTCACACCGCAGAGGCAACAGGATCAGCTTCAGAAGCAACAAAACATGAGAGTGATCATTCAAGTGCTGCACAACTGGACCAACTGGAAGATCAAATCCCTACAGATGATGTCAACTGTGATGATGGTGAGAACACTACATATTATTTCTCTGTTTTCAGGCTTTTGTCTTGTAAATACCAGAGGTAATGTTTCTCCGAGTGAATATTACTAATGGGAAATGATTCTGTTTTCAGGCTTTTGTCTTGTAAATACCAGAGGTAATGTTTCTCCGAGTGAATATTACTAATGGGAAATGATTCTGTTTTCAGGCTTCTGTCATTTAAAACCAGAAGTGATTTCACTGGCCTCTCGTTTCCAGCAAGTGAAAAAGAAATCTACAGTTGGTTTGGTGGAACCTCCATTGAAAGAGAATGCTTCAGAAGCCAAAGATACACCCAGTGGATTTGCAAACTTCATGAAAGGGTTCCGCAATTTCCATGAGGTGTCACTACAGCTCATCCTCTCATATTGGCCTTCTGTGAAAAATGCAACCAAAAACTTGCTGTCCTGTGTAGGATTAGACCAGGTGAGCATTCAGTAGAGAAGATATGTTTTGTGAGTTGTTTATGTTTGAGTTTCTATGTGGTTCAGCAGTGACCTTTACCCTTTGAACCCCAAGAGTGTTCAGCATGTAATTTCCCTGAACAATAAACCCTTGAATCAAAGGTCAGGCAAAGAAAGGAAGTGATCACCGACTAATGAAGCTTTTGATTAATAAACAAATTCTCCTTGTCAGCACCTTAGAAAAAGTTTGGAGAACAGTATGGAGAATAATGCTTACTGATGTTAGGGTGTAAGATGTTAAATTCACTGATTGTGACCTTTTGGATTTTCCAGGCATTTGAGCAGCTTTGTAAGGATCTAGCGGATGTTCACCCTGCTGTCCTGTTATCAACAGTTCTGTTTGGTACATTGGGTTTCCTGTACTTCTTCTGGTCTATTACGGTAAGATCCTAAAACTGATAGAAATGCTAGTTCTCCTAAGATCGTGCTGTCCTAACTGAAGCATCAAGTAACTTCTTAGAATAGCACCCCTGAATTACACTTAAAGGAAATGATCGCAAAAGGTTAAAAGTCAGGTGTGCATCCTAGTTTGCTCTCTGGCATCCTGAGAATAATCCTCATTGTGATTATTACTCCCATGATTTCCTGTAAATTACCAGACTCTGAAAGGTAATATTTTTCTTTATTTTACTGGCAGTTTGGAAGGATGCGATATGGTGCCCTTGGACCTAATCCTCGTGGTAAGTGATCAAAAGCTAACTTCCCATAACAACACTACTGACAATAATTATTCAAATAAGTGAGGGTTGTTTCTGCTCAAGAAATTGTTAGCAACAGTCCTGATAACTTCTAACAATGATTTTCACTAATTTAATTTAATTTCTTTAGATGTGCTAAAAAGTCACGAAGCACGGGTACGCATCTTGGAAGGGGAGATGGAGTCATTGATAGCAGAAAGGCTTAAAATGGAGATGGACCGAAATAATTATCATAAAGAGGTAAGTATAATTTACAATGTAAATCTTTTAAGGGGGCTGCTATTTCTAGTGATATTCATTCTTAGCACTCCAAGCTGCAACAGTTTTGGTGATCATGCCAAGAAGAGTAAAAATGGTGTGCGATATTCCAAAACAAGATGGCCAATGTTAAATTATTTATCACCTTTATTGATGTCTCATCTCCATTTTAGAAATGCATTGCAGAGGATGAATCACGTAACCATCTCGCTACCACTGAAAACCTTACCAAGGCTGTGGAGAAATTGAAGGTGAGTGATCAGAAAAATGAGTGTTTTGGGTCCATCCCATTTCCTCCATAGTCCATGACACAGTACTTGTAGATTAATTGTAGCTTGGTGCACTGGACTGGAAGTTAGAGTAATCATGGGATAGACTGACTTTGTGTCCAGGGTGGGGATGGGGAGTTGGAGCATTGCTTGTCGGTTCATGCCACCCAGATTGGAATAAGATAAGTTCAATTTCTATGGCCCTTTGGGCTCATAAGCTGACTTAACCTCTAACTACTCTTTTTAACAAAGAAATAAACCTTTTTTTGCTACAAGATAAAGTATACACTTTACTCTGATGTGTTGTCTGTGAGTTACTTTTTCATGCCTGTTGTTTGTTTATTTTATCTGTTGACTATTGCAGAACGAAAGGCAAGAGTTCCAGGCACAGATAAAAAGAATGGAGGAAAGTCTTAATGAAATGGTAACTGTTGACAAGGAGAAAGATGATCAAATTGCCAGCCGTGAAAAAACGGTAAGAGTTCAGCTCGGTACAAGTATGTAACCCATAAGCTCCCAAGATCGGATTGTTAATTCTCCCCTCTGGCTGCTAGACATTTCCTGGTAAATTATTTACAAGAATTTGGTGTTAGATCGAGATAACATCTACTTGATAAGTTTGTTCCTAGCCAATGGAAAGCAGGGGAAGAAAAAAATATTGAATACATATGCTACCAGGGAACCTTTTTTTCTACGTGTACAGTACAAGTTTTTTTGTTTTGAGAGTTTTATAATCAATTAGAGTATTGACATAATTTTTTTTATTTTTGCAGATTGCAAACTTGAATACTAAAATTGGAACACTTGAAGATGAAATTGTCAAGGTAGTAATTTCAGTTGTAAAGTTTATGGAGAGGCTCTCTTGTACAGTTCACTTTATGTTCAATGGTCACCAAGTATTGTATGGTGTTATTTAAAATTTGTTTGTTTTCAGTTGAATGATCATTGCGATAAACTACAGATGGGAAAAGAGGCAGATAAAGAGCATATTGGAAAACTGAATGAGAAGATTGAACAAGGCAATAATGAGATCCAAAAGGTGTGTATTGGTAATCATCATTGTTTTCATAACTCGAAAATTATTAGAAGATGTAAAATGTGAGGAAAGTCCAATTTGCTGACTGTCTCCTTCATCTTCTTAAAACAGCTTGAAACTTTTCTGGCAGACACTGAGGAAAAGTAAGTTATGATCCATTCTTTTAATTCTAGCAATGCAGAAAATTCTTTTGCATTACCATCCTCTACATGTAAGAGTTTTTTGTTTGTTTCAATTGATTTGAAAATGGTGTTGTTGCAGGAAACAAAAGCTTCACACGGAGTTTGATGAACTGTCTCTACAGCTGTCTGACCTCCAAAAGCAATATGAATTTAAATGTAATGAGGTTGAGGTAAGTAGACTGACCTCTGCGATACTAGTGCAGCGCTCTACCAATTGAGCTAACAAGCCAACTGGGAGCAGGCCATCAAATTAGACTTACCTTGCATCTGATAATTAGTAATTAGATAGTTGATTTGATCAATTGAGATGTTAATGTAGATGTTTCAAGCACTAGCATGGAACCTTATTCACTCTGATGAAGGGCTAACATTTGAAATATCAGCTTTAGAAACTCTGTATAGTGGCCAAATTACATTGTCAGTGCAGGTGATAAAACCACATTTTCTGGTAATACACCCCACTGACGCAGCCCCACGGTTTCTCTAGAAACTTATCCCCTTTATGTATGTGATAGTTTGAGCTCAGCACTGTCGCACTGTAGAAAATGTGGTGGCCTTTGGTAAGGGTGCACAGTTGGCCATGGGAACATGAAAGCTTGAGTTCAAGCTCAGGCTACACTGTTGTTTTGTGTTTATGGGCATTAGCCCCAACTCTTACACCCCCTCCTTACATACAGGAGCATCAATAAGTAACCCAGAAAATTTAGGGAAATGATGAATGGTTGGGAGGGGGAGGGGAAGGGGGAGGCAATAGCTGTATGAACACTGACAAAGACTCGAGGCTGGGAGAGTTGTTGTGAGTGATCTACCAAGGTCTGAATTAAAATAGAAATCATGAATGGTCTGCTGGAACTTTTTGTTGGTTAGATATTGAAGGATTGTTTCAAGCAAGTCAAATTACAAGATGACGAAGAAGAGCCTGGTAAGTTTTACCTAAATATGTCATCAAAATTAACTGAAATTTGGAAATTTTTTGCAATGTGGCGTAATTACCTTACATTCATTCATGGTGAACTCCTTGTGGTGTGGGTTTTGGTAGAAAATGTGGCATAGTTGGCGATGAGTGTTCTAGACTGTGGATCTAAAGGACTGGGTTCTAGCATGTTATGTTCTGGGACTTTTACTCTTGCATTGCTTCTCTCCAACCTGGAGAAACTGTTTGGGGAAGCTGATTATATGGGGGGGGGGGGAAGAAGGTGGCAGAAGATGATGGGGGGAAGGGAAGTGTTATCACAGCAATGGACTTTTCCACCTGTGCAAGGGGGTTATGGCAAAGTTAGTACTTCCACATTCTTTTTTATTCAAAACAAGAAAAGGAAAAAAGAAAAGAGGACCAAAAGTGCTTCATAATGCACATTCCAGCTTGTCTCTTTAGTATGGATTCACTTGTTATGTTTTGGTAATTGACATTAAGTGGGAAGTTCTACTGTTAGGTGTTAAATAAATAATTTTTGTCTTTGTTGTCTTTTATCAGGTGAGGAGGAAATGGCTGAAAGGCTACAAAACTTAATGAAAGTTCATGAAGTAAGAAGAATTAGCATTTTGCCCTTAGTTATTTTATCACTGCACTACAATACTTGTGAGGAAACCAGAATTATGAATAATAAAACCCAGGGAGAAGGATTTAGAGACAAGCCCCTGTTTCAGAAATGTTTGGAGACTAACATACCAAGACTTTAAAAGTACCAGCCAAGAGGTTATTGGCCCTTCAATCCCTAAGGGTGACTAAATTCTAATTTCTTCTATCACTATCACCCCCTCGTCACACATTAAGGTCAAGAGAATAAAATAAATGATCAACATCTTATGAGGCTCTTGATTGTAAGGCAAAGTCTCCTTGTCAGCATTGTAGGAAATGAATAGAGAACAGTATGGAGAATATGCAGACTGATGTTAGGGCGTTAAGGATTAAAAACCCCATTCAAACAGAGGGAGAGCTTAGGAAAGGCTCCACCTGGAAGTGATATGCATTTGTTTTGGGCTGAACTTGAAATTTTGGATTTAATGTATTGCAACCCTTTCTTGTTTTCTTTGATTTGTAGGTAAAGGAAGAAAATAACCAATTGCAGGAAAAAGTTGAGGAAATGGAAGCGGAAGCTGAAAAGCTAAGAAAGACAAACAAGATGTTGGAAGGTAAATAATTCTGGAACATGGCATATCTTTCACTTCTTTTCTGAAATATTCTTTTCAGACCGAACAAATTTTTATTTTTATTTATTTTTTTTTTTATTTTTCTTGCAGAGGACAATGTCGAGAAAACAGAGAGAGCTGAGCAGGCCGAGAGTAAGGCCAGCCAGGCCATGCTAACACAGCGAGAAAAGGAAATCGAATTGGAGGCACTGCAAAAGTATTTCAAATCAACCGAAGTAGAGTTACATAGGTAAGAGACTATGTTTCACAGCCGCTGATCTTCTCACCAACTTTGAGACTCGAGAATAACGTGAGGTGTAATCATCCAACCTAGATCAGGATTTTCGAGGGTTTTGTTGCAGGTAGATGATGCGAAAAGTTAACATTCCAATGTCGCACTTTTCCCTTTGTAGAAAAATCACAGCTGAGGAATCAACCCGAATTTCTATCGAGAATCAACTGCAATCAGAACAGGCGAAAGCTTCCACAGCTGTAGTAGATGCGGATAAGTACAGGTAGAGTATTAAGTCTGTTTATGCTTGAATTAGTGTTGAGGAACCAAGAGTTCTCAGCTCTTTCTGTTGCACGCGTGCGAATTTAAGTGCGTGAAGTTTTGATTTTAGATTAGTTAATTTTGTTCACGTATATTAGTGTCAACTGTCCTTTTTACATCCGCTCTTAGGCAGCTTTATTTAGACATCAAGAAGCAGATTGAAGAAATCGACGAAAGCAAGAAAGAGCAGGTTAGTCTATAAAGTACTGAAGACAACCTCGCAGCCATTTTTTGTCTCGTCACGAAGTACAATTTACCCCAAAGGGGAGAAGGGGAAGGTAGAGCATGTAATATTCTGATTGAGAACTCCTTCAATCTGTTAACACTGTTGTGTTGTCATTTTATTCGCAGTTATCAAACATGGAGAAGAAAGCTCATCAAAACTGGGTAAGTTTATTATGATGTGGTTATGTATCGCAGGAGAGCCACAACTTTTTCCATCGTTTGAAGCTGATTTTAAAATGTATACCCCTTAACTTCCTTACCACTCTGTATATTCCAGCTTGATTACAGAGCTGCTGTACGAGAAGTCGACGGGCTCAAAGATGAGAATGAAATCCTCAGAAGGAAGTAAGTTAAAAACGTTTTTTGCTTATACCGAATACCGTGCCATCAAATCAACCCTTTTTTTCCTTTGGAGTATAGTAAGTTATTAGTTGCCCCTAAGGGTTGGTAATTGTTCACCATCCCCTCTGTGACTCGAGCCACTTTTCTTTTCTTTTTTTTCTTTTTTCTTTTTTTTTTTTTTTTTATAAAAGAAGGCTTTTAGACCAAGTATTTTATTTGATTTTCTAGACTGTATGACGTGGAGGTCAGAGGAAGCCGTTCAAGTTCTTCAGCGAGCAAAGGTAGATTGAGAAGCTATTGGGTATTGCTTTTTTCCCCGCTCCCTGGAATACCAGTCCAACGCACGGCTACCACCCTCCCCCTTGCCAGTAATCAACCATTCAGGGAATACTCGAACCCAGACCACCAGTCCACAGCGTCGTCACACTGCGTGAATTCTCGATTAATTGTGAGGGGATAAAGTTTTGAGCGAGTTTCGACAGTAATCTAGGTTCACTCCGGTTTTGCATTACTGTGCAGTATGATTGGTCCAGAAAACTCGCGCTACTTTTTCTCAACCAATCAGATTCACACCTAAAACCAGTCACGACTTCGTTACTCGCGTTTTCCCGTTTGCTTTTGGTTTTGACGATACTCAAATCGAAATGTTCCCTAATCTCCAACAAATAAGCGACTTAATCATTAAAAAAAACTCAGAGTTGACATTGAGAAAGCGATAGACTTCGCCAATGGCACTCTCATTTTATAAGTGGAAGTTGAAAATAAAATCGTGCAAGATTGATTCCAATCGCTAAACATACATATTTTGTTATTTTTTTTTTAGTTGATGGTCGAGATTCTCCCTCACGAATGAGGTAAGACCGTATTTTTCATATCCTAGCTAACACGCACTTGATCCTCAAGTAGAAACAAATATACGTCAGCAAGAATTTTATTAAGTCAAATGAGCAATATAACGCTAAAATTATTGTTCCATCCTACTTTGCTTTCCATTTACATTGGTCGTAACATGATTCTTTGCAAAAGTAATAGATGACTGAATTTGTTACCTTTATTTTTTAAATCCACAGTCCTATGTCTGGGGTTCCTAGTCATGGTAGCCCTGTTCCATTTGGTGCTCCTCCAATGATGGGTAAGCTAGCCTTCTTTGAAACCCACCCCCCCCCCTCAGAAGAACTCTTCACTTATAACCTTTCCCTTATTCCCGCCTGATCGGTGGTTCCCAACCCCTGGTGAATGAGTTACAGACAACTATTAAAAAATAATAAGTCCAGAATAGAAGCCTTCGTTTGTGTATTCTTCTAATACCAAACCCTCGCATTTCTGGCCCTCACCCTACCATCAAATAAAAATCCCTGCTTGTACTGGCTCGGTCCCTTGACCATTTCTGTTCTTCACTGCCCTCTTTCAAACTTCCTTTAGAGAACTAGGTTCTCGTGCATCCAACTGATCCCCACTAATCCTATTTTAATTTTTTCAGGACCTCTCCCTCCTCCGCCTCCTTCATCAATGTTTCCTGGCCAACGAAGACCGCATCCCGCAGAAATCCTTGGGATGACACCCCCTCGACCACCCTTCCCTCCTCCAGGCCCTGCAACCAGAGGCCATGCTACGCCTCCTCCAACAACAACAACAGCTGCTTCCACTGCTCAGGTATGATGCATGGGGCTGGTTGGTCGATATGCCTTTCTTGTTGACTAGCTTTTCAGTTTTTAAATCAAGTACACCACTGTGATAGGAATCGTCGGAACGCTGCGAGAAAATGTCTAGAATCAGAAGGAATTGGCTAAGGAAAGTCTTAGTTTCATAAAAGATAGAATCGATCGTTCCTCAGATTGGGATGTTCAGTTGCTTGGTAAGGAATTACTGGTCGGAAATACGCAATCGTGGCGTGGTAGTTTGATGAGCTGACAGAACGTGTTTGAATGACGATGCATTCCCAAAAACAGTGTGATCCTTCCAAGAATCCTTTATTAGCCTAACCTCAAAATTGACCCAGGATTTTTTCCATCTGAGCTAGCTCAAGAAATCTTTTCTTTTTTTTTTTTTATCGCAGTCCTCTTTAAAACCCGCTGATAGCGTAAATTCCTTTGGCCAAGACAACGCAGATGGATCATCTCAGCCCCTTCCTCCCCCTGGCCCCATGTCTGGGTTTGGCCCTCCTCCTCCTCCAATCCCTCCGATTATGCGGATGCCAAGATTTCCGCCTCCACCCATGATGCATCATTCTCTGCCAAATGGACCTCGTAAGTACTTTAACTACAACTTCAACTTTTAAAGATGCAATTCTACCAGAGCAGGTTTGCCGTCCAACTTGCCAGAGTGAGCTTATGAGCGAAGTGGCTCGATAGGCCGTCGTGCATGGGCATCAGTCATGCCACGACTATGTCGACGTGTTTTATTGAATTCCTTCAATGATGCGCGTCATAGACTGACAAAACTTTGCCGAACACAGTTGTTTCTTTTCCTTGACCTTTAAAGGCGGTTTGTCAGGGAATCGAATAGCAGAAGTTTGCCTTTCGTTAGGCCGGCTCTCGTATATTAGTTAAAACTCTGGATTAAGATCCTTTCTGTGTTTTTTATTGGCTGTTTTGTTTTCGCGTGTAATCTATGATAAGCTACGTGATAAGAACCCAGTCTCAGAGTATAGCCGAGTTTCGTTTATCTAAGCTCAATTAGAGGTTGCTATCGTTCAAATACCCTCAACACCTTAATAATTTTACTTTGTGTTTTTCTCTCCTCAGTTCCTCCTCCAATGTTCTTACCTCGACCTGGTGGACCTATGCCTCCTCCTCCTCCACAAGGCACCAGGCCCCAAGCAAGTTCTACTCCTCGCCGTTCATGAAGTCTGACACCAAAATTATTCTTTGAAACAATTGTTTTCTTTTTTTATATTCAGTGCTCACATCTGTGGGAAACTAATATTTCAATGAGCACTATAACCACTTAACTCATCAGACAGAATGAAATTTGAAAATTGTCTTCAGTGAGATATCGGAAGAGTATGACAGATTATTTAAAAAGTAAATTTTTAATGTTTTGCAGAGATGTCGGATTCTGTAAGCCGAAATAAAGAATCAAACTACTTTATCGTTTAAATTGTGATCTTTCTGTGTTTTTGTATTTTGGAATCTTATTTGGGTTTTTAGCGTTTTAGTGTTAAGACAACAAAGAAGTACAGTTGAATCCTTTCCCCCCCTCCTCCCTCCCCCCAAGAGTGACCAGCATCCAGCTTCTCCTTTCAAAGTCACCCCTGCATCAAACAAGGGTCACAAGAAAAAAGGAAATCACCAACTAAAGAAGCTCTTGATTGCTAAACAAATTTTCCTTGTCAGCACCCGAGGAACAGGGTTTGTAAGGGTCCTGGACAACCTGGAGAGCACTAACAAAAAATAGAAAATGAGACTGCATGTGGCACCTGATGAAAATCCAAAATCGGACAGTAGTGTCAAAATTCCATAATCGAACAATACTGTTCAAATTCAAAAGTCGAAGACTAGCGTCCGAAATCCTAAATTGGATACTTGTGTCCAAAATCCAAAGTACAAAAAATCCAAAATCAGACAGTGGTGTCCAAAATTTAAAATCGGTTACTAGAGTTCGAAATCCAAAATCAGACACTAATGTGTAAAATCAAAAATCAAACACTTGTATCCAAAATCGGACACTAGTATCTGAAATTCAACTCTTTTTCTTCTCCCTTACTTTTTCCTAAGTTGAGAGGGGCAATAAATGGGACAGTTGGGAAAAGAATTGATAAAAGGGAGGGTAGCGTGTCTGAGGGAGATATACTCGCGCGAAAAAAAAAATTGATATAGAAAATTCAACCACTTTGAACGAAGGATTTAAAGATGGTGTTTTAATCAAACTGCTGTTGGACTTCAGGGACACGGTACATCACCCCCCCCTCCCCTCTCCCCTCCTTTCACCCACTGAATGTTGTACAATAACACAAGAAAAAGTGCAACATTCAGGGGGAGATGGAGATGGATTGAAAGCAAGGGTTCTAAGGATAAAATAGTTATGCTGTTTCAGAGTACTGTGATTTCAACGGAAATGTGTCAAAAATGTTGTAAATATTAGTGGATATTAGAATATACAATAGAAGAGCAGAATAAGTAGGTTTGCTTTCGTGTACAAATATATTTTTTCTCATTGTAGAGTCTCAGTCATTTAGTTTCATACTTTAACACTAAGAACAACAATGAGTTTGACATCATAAAAACATCGTCTCTGCCCTTTGCAGTGTCTGGCAAATTAAGAATTTCAATTTTTCATTAACCTGCTTTTTTTTTTTGCAAGGTTCATCCTTTGTGGAGAAGGACTAAATATTGACAAATGGTAAAAGAATTGTTGAAATGTCACTTGCTTCTAAAATAAACGTCTTTCTCTCACTGTTCACCATCTCAATGAATTCCCAATCTTTTTCTTCGATGGAATTGATGTATTTCATTTTTAACGCTTGGTTTTCAAAGATCTCGACAACTGCAATTTACACTTTCGAGCCCAAGCGCGCAAATACGGATTTCCCTGCATCTACGTCTGAATTGAGACCTGTGGATCTTTTAACCGGTTTTACAGGTTTAACTGGCTTGGCAGGAACGCCTTTGCGTTTAACCGGTTTCAGTACACTGTGACTTGTGTAGTCTATATCTTCCGGCTCATCGTCGCTGGAAGGGAGACGAATCCTAGGATTCACTGCTTGAACTGTTGCTGTCGCTGCGGCTGACGGTGAGGCCAAGCCACCGAGACGACTGAAAACAGACCCCTGCGATTTGTCCTGTATCAAAGAAATGACAATAATTATTTAAGATGAAATGATTAGGACCCCAGAACAACAGAGGACCAAGTGGTCTGATCGTCCGGGTGAAGGCAGTCCTGAGAGGACAGTTGTTAGTTGTAGTGACTGACGTTTTGACAATCTAAGCGGAGGTCATCATCAGGCTCAAGTGAGATTTTTTTTTATTTATTTTTTTTTTGAGGGAAAGAAAATTGAAAAAACACAAAGCGGTAAAAGTATAGAAGGCAGGAAAAACCGTGCCAGAGAAATTCAAGCTTGGGAAGAATTGAACACTTGACCGTTAAGCCCGAGAGAAGAGAATGCCGTTCCCAAATCTTTTCCCGCAGCGTAACTTCAAATGACAAAGAATCAAATGACTGTACAACAATGTTCTGTGAAAAAGGGAAAATGAGTATCCGAGTCTTGGCCTTAAATTTCAGTTTTTCTTTCACAAGGAAATACAAAAACATTTGTCTCGCGAGGTCTCTACTCGAGTTGGCGATCAATTAATTGATGAACAAAATTTGATACAACATTCATGTGCGAAAGAGTTCTTCGATGAAAATCAAAGTAGCTGTGATACCTTTAACTGGACTGTGATGCTTGTTTTTAGAGGTTTCAGAGCTTTAACTTCAGTCTTCTTTTCCGGTTTCTTGACGGCCACCTCTAAAGGAGGACTTTCTTTACCCAGACGATCAAACACAGACTGCCTTTTGATCACTTTTGCTTTATTCACTACAATGGAACGATCGAGGAATTATTAGTCTATCTCTGTAATGGACGCTTTCCAAATTGCTGATCCTGGCTGCAAGTGAACCACATATCACATATGAACTTACACTCTCCCACATAATTAGTAAGGACACTTGTCCAGAATTCGTCCATGATGTTCTTTCGCCCCACTCCCCCTTCTTATGGTGTAAATTGCCAATGTTTCTATGCTATGTTGCAGACCAACATTGAGACGAGCAGGGGGAGGGGTAGGGTTTTTTTTTTTTTACCGGGGACGCAGTTGGGTTTGACTGCAAATGTTTCTTAACCTTGTGTGCACACAAGTTGTCTGCAGTTCAATTGGCAAAACATCCAATGGGGTAATCCGAATTGGCTGGAGTGCGAATTCTATCGGACACATGTAGACATGTTTCCTGCTTGCACGCTCGTTCAGTATCGTTTAAGAACGTTTAAGCCTACCTGCGGCCGAAGCTGCAGCTTGTTTTTGCTTCACTATAAGTTTCTTGCTCCGTTCAGTCGATCCCTGAGGCAGCTTCACCTTCAATGTGTGCTCATCTGTAACTTTTGGTGGAGTTACTGCCGCTGTTTTAGGTTTATTTGTGACATGGACTTTGACAGCGTGACCACCAAACCTGGCCCAACAAAAGGTCTGAAATCAGCTTTACTATCAGATAATTATTTGATTTGAACGCCACTAGAACTCCAATGAGAAATGAAGTAGTTGTTCCTCTTGTGACGTTATCACTTGTTAACAAACATTCGCCTCTGTCAAGCTCTCAGTTAAGGAGACGATTAAAAGAACGGACAGGTGACAAAAGGGCAGTAGACGATGTTTTTCACTTTAATTTTACTAGTTTGCCCGCTTGCCGTTTTCTCTCACTTTCGCTCAGAGCCTGGTATAGACTAGTCAAGATTGGGATCTTCTCCACTTGGAATATTCATCTGTAAACGTCTCCAGACAAAAAACTTTGAGTCTTTTGAGCTCAGAAATTAAAATTTGGATGAAAAATTCTAACATCTATAATTATCTTGCAACTCATTGTTAATAATATTCAATAACAATTATTCCAAGTGTTTTTTTAGCTGCTTATACACTAAATGTATGAAAAAATAACTTTGAAAGCAAAAAGATAAGGTCGGAAGAAAAAGTGAACAAACCAGGTACGAAGTAAGTAATTTTTTTCAAAATCACTTTTGTGCACAAGTAAGTCAACTGTACAGGTACATCAGTTCAAAGTGTTTTTAAACTGTAGTAAACTATGTATGGAACTATGATTGCCTCAAGTTTATGCTGGCTTTCAAAAGTCATAGAAATGGGATGCATACCTTTCTGATAAAGTTTTCTGGGCACCAGTTGCCTGAGGTTTCTCCTGTGATATGGCTGCTTCAATTTTGAGATTTTTTCTTGGTGGTGCTGGTGATGGTGAAGAAGACGGTGATGGCTGGGGATCTCGAACAGGACTGCTGGTGCCACTTTTCTGATTGTTTATCCAATGATCTACCATTCGGCTAGCAGCTACACAGTAACAACAACAACAACAACAACAACAAACTGACATGGTTCACTTTTATCTGAGGCTCGACATTGCCTGCTATCGTTTTGAACCCATCAAATGTTATAAAAATTACCTTACCAAAAACAAAAAAAAAATTAATTTCACCCAAGGATGAAATGAAAGGAAGATATCTCCCAGACTTTAAATGCATGATACGATGCCTTTGGCTGCTTAGAGTAGTATCTGTATCATCAAGATATTGATTGCCAAGTGGAGAAGTGCTTGTTTGTTGAATGAATTCTCCTCACCAGTGCAAAAGGAAATGTGTAGAAAACAGTTAGGAGAACATGCATACCAATGTTAATATATAGATTTAGCCAAGCCTAAAAGCGGAGCTCCCAAGTTTGCAATATTAACGATACATAAAAGATGTGCATTTGCCAAGACTCGCTTGAGACACCCCTCCCTTCGTTTTAATAGTCTCCCCTACCCTACCCGTGCAATCTGAGGGCATGCACGTACGTACACTCGGTCAGTCACGTGACAACCAAACAAAAAGAGGTTGACCATGTTCCATGGGTAAGGGGCTCTGCCCCATGTGTACGAAGTGCGCCTGGGAGCCCCACTATGATGTGAAGGGCTAACCCTTCCACTCCTACAACTGATCATTTGATACATTCTCCTTAAAATCACAATGCACTCTGAAATGTCTGGAGAAGAGTATGGAGAACATGGCTACTGATGTTAAGGCACAGACAGAGGGTTGAATGTCTTCCTATCTTACCAAGCGAAGTTCTTGCCCTTTCCCTTTCACCAGAGGTAGACAATTTTAATGTAAAAGGTTAGAATTCAGTATACTATTTCCTTACTGTACTGTACCTGTTGACTTGCGCTTAACACCAATGGGCGTTTGATTTCCAGGAGAAGGCGACTCAGTTGAATCTATGACAGCCATGTCTTTTGCTGACTTCTCTCTCTCACTCTGCAAATGAACAAATGACTGAGTGCATCTCTTTACTTAATACATTTATTTTGAAGCTGAGTCCAGCTAGGATCAAAAAGAAAGAGAGAGAGGGAAATACTTTAAGAATTTTGCAAATTGTGAGTAGTAGTTAATGATGCAAACTGTTTTATATGAAACTGACCAAAACAAAAACAGAGACAAAAACAGCCAAGTAAAAAACTAAAATACAGTTGCCATTAAAAACCCAAAATGGAGGTAAAGTATAGATTCAGAATGGATACTTTATCCATTCTAGTAAGGCATAAAAAACATTATTTGTTACCCTTAACCTTTCATGATATGATTGTAAATTCTGCCCTCTACCTGTTACATATTTCCTTGTAAATTAGTTACAAGAATTTGGTGTTAGATCAAGATAACAACTTCTACCTGATAACTTTGTGTATTCACATCACCTATTTGCAAGATAATGTATGGATATTATAGGGAGAAGTAACATGTTGAACACACAAAATGAAAATTCATACCTGAGCATAAACTTCTTTACCATGTCTTAAAATAGCGATGATATCACCCATCACTGTTATCCCAATGTCTCTTAAAATCTCCTGGATAACCAAAAAATTATGAGACTGAGTGAAGATAACATGTTACTATATTTATTATAACATAACCAAAGTAAAGCGCACACTCTGATTGGTCAATTGAGCGTTCCCCATTTGCCCATGAGTATACGCTGCTGATGTGAGCAAATGCAAAGACTATTTTTCCGCACGCACTTGTTTTTTCTGGTCACGTAAGATTTGTTAAATAAAAGGGAACTCTTTAACCACAATGTATCAAATTAATGTTATGTTATAAAACAAATAGTAAACACCACAGCGTACACTATTGAGTTATGGATGCACTTGGGAGGTTTGCTAAGCACTCAAGAAGCTAGAGTCGCTCTCAGCTATTTCCTCACGTGACTCTTACGCTTCTTTCGTGCTTAGCAACCTCCGGCGTACATCTATAACTCAGTAGTGTACACTGTGGTGTTTACCATTTGTTAATTCCATCAAGTTGCATGGTGTGATCCTGTATTAAAACATTTGTGAACAAGAGAAAAACTAACCAAAGAGAACTAAATTATGTTGATCTTAAAAACATTGGCAATTTTTTTTTTGATATTATACTGGGTCAACATATTCTAACCTTTGTCAAATCTGGCAGCATGTCCTCCTGTATTCTGTGATCATAAAATATCACAGCATAGCTAATGAAAAGAATTGAGAAATGGGAAATATCAGCAAAGGTCTATAAACAAATATCACAGGTAAACTGGAATAAAAGGGTAATTTTTTAATCGGTTTCAGCTTGGGCTGATCAGAGTAGACCAATTATAAAATGCAGTCAAGTTATTAACCCTTTAACTCTCACGATCTCATTAGTAATTATCAATTAATTAGTAGTTGGTAATTAATTAGTAATTAGTAATTATTAATCCTTTCACTCCCCAGATCTCATTAGTAATTTATGTATAAAAGTGATCCTTGCAGTAATAAACCCTACTTACGTAGAAGTGGAAATGAGGCCTGAAAAAAAAGTTTTGGTCTGTACAGGATTTGAACCCATGACCTCTGTGATACAGGTGCAGTGCTCTACCAACTTAGCTAACCAGCCAACTGGGAGCTAGTGATTATGTTGGTTCGTATTAAAGCTGTCGAAGTGATATAAATCAGTGTATTTTGAATAAATGAAAATCGCATCTGTGTACTGTGGTTTCGTAAAATGTATGAAAGCAATCGTTGCAGAAATAAACCCTACTTATCTAGTAGTGGAAAAAAATATCATTTTCATATATTCAAAATTCATTGAATCTTGTGATGTTAGTTTGGAAAATTTGAATTCAGTGCCTAGTGGTTGCACAGGATAGCAGAGCAAGAGAGTGATAAATAAGATGCCTTCATTTGGTCTGAAAAAATCCGCAACAACAAAAAAAAAAAAATACATTAAAAAATATTTTTGACGAGTAAATTAATAAAACTTGCTATTACAGTATATTTAAGACGTTGGAAATGTCAAGTTGTAATTTGCATTGAATTAATTTTGTGACAAAATGATTTGTATTCCTCTTTGGGACAGTTTACCACAAAGCTGGTGCGTAATCGTGAAATAAAGAAAGGGACTCTCAAAAGTAGCTCAGAATCCTTAATTTGAGAGTAATTACACTTTGAAGTTAACATTTGATTAAAAAGGCCAGTGTGATGACAGTTTTGACACATTTTGGGGTTCATTTCTGTTCACACAACAAAAACACAGGGTTAAGGACGGCCCTCTGCTTACTGCCAAACGATTTCAACACAAATTCAAAAGCGAACTTTGTCAACGGCTTACAGATCAACATTATTGTTTACAAATCGAGATCGAGACAATAGAAGGCTAATGTCATAGCTACCTGACTCGATCGACCTCACAATTTTATAACAGGATTTCAGTCGATGAGATAGCACGATCGATCAATGGTTGACTACGACGCAATCAAAATTCATACCAGGAACTTTTCATTTAAGAAGATAGGTTTAAAAAATTATCTCTTCATTTCCTGTCAAACACGATTGCTAGGGAGGTACACTTACTTTTGTGCTGGTCCGCTTGGGATGCCGGCATTCGCGAAAAACTTCGTCCATTTTGAGACTAATAGAATGATTAAAATACACGCAATGAGCTAAGAATGAAAATTGGTATACAAATCAACCGCAAATTAGTCGCACCGTACCTTGTACACTCATTTCCCGCAGTTGTTAAAGGCGATCGAATATTTCAAGACTCTAAGCGCCAAGAAAGAATCGCCAGGAATCATGGGAAATATATATTTACTGCAACGTCATGTATGCTTCATGTAAGTGACTGCTGATAGGAAACCACCGCTTTGCTCCCGGTTCAAACAATTTGTCCACTTTTCGAAAACACTTTCCCAACACGTTGAATTTGGAAACACATAATCATCTAAATGTTAAAGTCTACCGTCCACAAATCTGGTCAGAAAACTGAACTAAAACAACGCTGTAATGGCAATATTGTACTATTTTAGTTGGTCTGGAATGGACGTATGAAAATCCTCACCATGTGTTAAAGCTTGACAGGCCAGGAGCCTGTCAAACGGAGTGCACACGGGAGACATTTGAATTGTGTGGGTGTTTTTATTTTATTTTGTTTTATTTGTATGGCCGTAAAACATCTGTCGTGCTTCAAAAAGGAAAACGCGGTGTTCTTCTTCTCCGGGTTCTTCTGGACTTCAGGTAATTTCTGTCAAAATTTCCTACTGAGTTTTTTAACAATACCTTCGAGTATAGCAGTATACCAACGTTTTGCCACAAATGCTGAATCTAATTAGCTTCGCTTTTTTGCAATACATAACAGTAGAAGTCAGTATTGTAAGAACGAAAAACTGTGGCGCACTAGGCGCAACACACTCGTACGTACACACACAACCCTCACTTTTAAGAGAACTGAAGATCAATGAGAGGCGAATTGCTTTATTTTTCGTTTTTACACTGAGTTGGATATGATTGACAAAGTTTTTGGCCCAACTCTCAGGGAATATTAGTCACGAATTCAGCCATTACTTAAATGTATTAGTAAATATTAATCATGTCACCAAATTGTAATTGATCGCGTCAGAGAGTAGGACAGATTTCATGATTATGTGGACAAAGTCCGCAGTTGATTTACTTTAAGAAGTCTGTTGTGATTGGACGCGTATTCCGCCTAAAAAGGAAAGCGAAACGTGCCGTTGGGTAATAAGAGTTAAATATAGACGTATTAATTACTGGCTGGGGATTTTACTGTACTCGTGATTACAGGAAAATACTTGCAAGTAGTTACGCAATGAATACAGTAGTAAATTGTAGTTTCGACACCAACCCCACTATAGTCAGTTCAGTCGTGAAAATGCGACTCCATCAAGCGGCACATCCCCTTCAGCCCATTACTAGAAAGTAACCCCCCCCCCCACTCCCATGGGGTTTTAAGAGTTAAGCGCAGTTAATGTTTCGTTCAATGAGTTAAGTTATGCGAGAATGGATTTATTACCAATAAAAAAAGGAAAATGGTTAAAAAAAAAGTTACGGTCACTAAATCTCAGGGCCCAAACTTTGCAACAGTTCTAGTTGGGTTGATGTAAGTTTTAAGTAACGAACGAAAAGACTGTTATTGATACTGGATTGACGACGTCATGAAGCGCAGACCAAGCGCGGTGGGACCTCCGGTCCTCGTGATGGAGACTTCAGGTCGTCATGGCTGAGATATCTGCTCCGACCTAACTCAGTCAAAAAGCATATCATATCACCGTCAAATAGATTTTTCTAGCCCTGCATGGACGCTGAACGCTGCCCCTAGGGGATTCCTGTAATTGTTTTCGATAAAAGTGTGGCACGTGTGGGCGCACGGGTTATAAATAAGATCTGGCAAAACAAACTCCAAAATTTACACCCCTAAGCGAGACGACGAGCATCCCCCTCTGTTTCATATGGGACTAATGGGAGTCCCCTCCCCCCCGGGCTTAGGACTAGTTTTCTCAGCATTTAGTTTGGGAATTTGCTTATTTCCCCGCTGATCGGGCAATGAAGTGATACGGTGGCTCATAAAATGATCATGAAAAGAGAATTTTTATGATGAACTAAGTTACGTTGGAAAATACGTGTATCACAGCAGAGAAATCAACTGTATATAAGTAAATATCTGAAAAAAGAGCTCAGAACGCTTTCCCTCCCCTCCCACCCCTTGACACAGGAGATTCTAGATTTTATATCTTGCCCTTCAGGACAAAAAACAAAAGAAATCATCCTAGCGTTGAAAACACCTGATTGGTTGTAAAGATCGTGTGTTTTCGTGATTTGCATAATGTGACTCACACCTGAATCTGTTATTAGTATTTATATCAGCGAAGGTCGTAGGATCCAAGGAAGTATCTTTTTCACTCTAAAGAGGTCGCACTGACTTGAAATTGAGGTG